TCCAAACACTGTTAGTACACCTCTTTCTTCTCATTGAATTAAGCAAAGGTAGCTGTAAATTTATCCTATTTTGTATATATAAATACAAAATGATCTCTCTTCTGTATACTTTTTTTTTTGCTACTGTCAGAGGCGAATATTCCATTGGCATCTAAATACTGTAGGTGTTTGAATTCAACTAACCAATCTAATACTGTCTAGCTGTCTATAATATTAGGGGGTTTTCCTCAGAAGTTATTGACTTGAGCCTTTTACAGCTCATCGTATTAATATGAATTTACTTTATATACCTCATTTTTATACTTTTTTGCTGACTGGCTAAGACCAAGATATAGCAAGACCTATATAACAAGAAATGTAACTTTTGTATCTGATAAGGTCAGCCAAGTACTCTCAGGATTTATCCTGTAGCCCCGTACTGCCCTTTGCACATTCTTTTGTCAGTGTCTGAAATGAGGATAAGTCACGGCCATTGCTTGACTAATTTGCTCTCTATGAAAGCTTAAGAAAATGTTTTTCCTCTCCATGTGACTCTCCCCAGGCTCACTTTACATCATTGAACACATTCCTCTGTGGCTCCATAATCTTCTTGATCACAAAATTTGGAGCACAACTGAGTTACATACAGTACAGGTTCTCCTATGTCCTGAGTCTTCACTGACCTTGAAAGGCTAGGGACAAAATGTTGGCTAACCATGCAGGCCTTCCTTTTCTCCAATTTTGATCTGCTAACTTAGGTTGCTAACCCTCCAGAAGAGAAGCTAATTATTAACCTACAATATATGCAGTTTGGTTTACCCTATCTGTCGAAATATCAAACATTTTGGCATATCATGGAACAGGTATTTTTCATCAGCTATTGATATGTTGAACTTTAAATCCTTACAGAATATGAAGGGAAAATAATTATATAAAAGTAGAAATAAGCATTTATGTATTTTTACAAAGAAATTAGAAACCTAACCATATATGGAATTGTAAGTCCTTATACTAGAAAGACAATATGATATTTACAGATGTGGGTCTGATTTATTTCACTAATAAGTATATTTTCAAGTGGCATCCACTTAAATATGAAGGCTTCAAGTTTATCATTCTTTATAGCTGAGTAGTACTCCATTATATAAAAGTACCACATCTTTTTCAACCATTCCACATGTGACGGGCATTTTGGTTGTTTCCAAGTTCTGGCTATTACAAATTGTGCTGCTATAAACATAGGTCCACATATATCACTATGATATGAAGCATTCAGTTCCTCCAAGAAAAATCCCAGTAGGGGGATAGCAGGCTTGAATGGGATTTCCAGTCATAGTTTTCTAAGGAGTCTCCACACTGATTTCCATAATTGTTGCACCAGTCTGCACTCCCACCAACAGTGGAGAAGGGTTCCCCTTTCCTCACAGCCTCTCCAACATTTGTTGTTGGTTGATTTCTTTATGATAGCCAATCTTTCTGGGGTGAGATGGCATCTCAGGGTTGTTTTAATTTGCATTTCATGGATGGCTAGTGATGTGGGGCATTTTTTCATATATGTATTCACTTCTTTAATTCCGTCTTCTTAGGAGTGTGTGCTCATCTCAGATGCCCATTTCTGGACTGGGTCTTTAAATTTAGGGACCCTAATGTTCTTTAGTTCTTTATAAATTCTAGAGGGCAGACCTTTGTCTGAGTTCTTATGAGTTAAGATTTTTTCGAAGTTTGTGGGTTGTCTTTTCACTTTGTTAATAATTTCTTTTGACATGAAAAAACTTCTCAATAAGGGGTTTTCCCAGTTGTTAATTCTTTCAAGTGTTTCCCATGCAATTTGGTTTCTGTTCATGAACTCTTTGCCTACACCTACATCTTCAAGAGATCCACCTACTTTCTCTTCTAGGAGATTTAGTATTTCAGTTTTAATGTTCAGTTCTTTAATCCATTTTGACTTTAGTTTAGTGCATGGTGATAGACCTGGGTCAAGTTTTAGTCTTCGGCATGTAGAGAGCCAAATTTTCCAGCACCATTTGTTAAAGAGACTATCTTTCTTCAAGTAAGTGTGTTTGGCCCCTTTGGCAAAGATCAGGTGGCTGAGTGCTTTCCTAGAGGCCTCTGCAACTATTATTCTGTTCCATTGATCCTCAGGCCTATTTTGTTGTCAATACCATGCTGATTTTATTGCAGTAGCTTTGTAGTATAATTTCAAGTCAGGAATTGTAATGCCTCCTGCTTTGTCTTTGTTGGCCAGGATTGCCCTTGCTATTCTATGTCTTTTTTGGTTCCAGATAAATTTTAGGAACAATTTCTCTAGGCCTGGGAGGTATGTTGGTGGTAGTCTCATAGGGATTGCATTAAATCTATACAACAATTTTGGGAGTATGGCCATCTTCACGATGTTGGTTCTTCCTAACCAGGGGCAGGGAATATCTTTCCATTTTCTGAAATCCTCTACAATCTCTTTTTTCAAAATACTGTAATTTGCCGTGAAAACATCTTTGATTTCTTTAGTTAGATTAATTCCAAGGTGTTTCATTTTTCTCATGACTATTGTAAAAGGTATTGTTTCCCTAATTTCCCTTTCAGTGTGTTTGTTGTCTGTGTAGAAGAATGCTATTGACTTTTGGGTAATGACTTTATATCCTGCTATGCTACTGACTTTGTCTATCAACTCTAGTAGTTTCTTAGTGGAGTTTTTTGGGTCTTCCAAATGAAGTATCATGTCATCTGCGAATAATAATAGTTTTACTTCTTCTTTACCTATTCTTACTACTTTTATTGTTCCCTCTTGTCTAATGGCTCTAACAAATGATTCCAGAACTATTTTGAAGAGGAGGAGTGATAGAGGACATCCTTATAGCTGATTTGTGAGTAAAAGATTTCAGTTTTTCCCCATTGAGAATTATATTAGCCATTGGGTTGTCATAGATGACTTTTAACAGATTGAAGCAGAGGCCTTCTGTTCCAATTTTCTGTAGGACTTTGAACATGTATGAGTGTTGGACTTTGTCAAAAGCCTTTTCTACATCAATTGAAATGATCATGTGGTTTTTAATTTTTGCTCTATTGATATAGTGTACTATCTCTATAGATTTTCAAATATTGAACCATCCTTGCATCCATGGGACGAATCCTACCTGGTCATGGTGTATGATCTTCTTGATGATTTGCTGTATTCTATTTGCTAAAATTTTATTGAGGATTTTTGCATCTATGTTCATGAGGGAAATTGGCCTGTAGTTCTCTTTTTTAGTTGCGTCTTTCCCTGGTTTTGGTATCAGCATAATACTCACCTCCAGGAATGATTTTTGGGAGAACTCTTTCCTTTTCAATTTCACTGAAGAGTCTGAAGAGTGTAGGGATTATATCTTCTAGGAATTTGTTGTAGAATTCAGCTGTGAATCCATCCGGACCTGGACTTTTCTTTGTCAGCAGGCTCTTCATTATACTCTGTATTTCAGTGGCTGTTATTGGGTTATTGAGAGTTGTTATATTTTCTTGATTCAGTTTTGGTAATTTGTACCTTTCTAGGAATCTGTCCATTCCATCTGTGGCTTCTATTCTGTGAGCATAAAGATTCTCAAAGTAGCTATTGATAATCTTCTGAATTTCCACTAGGTCTGTAACAGTTACACCCTTTTCATTCTTTTTTGCTTGTATTTGAATTTTTTCTTTCTTCTTTTTGATGACGTTGGTGAGGGGCTTATCAATTTTATTTAATCTTTCAAAGAACCAGCTTTTTGATTCGTTAATTCTTTGAACTGTTTTCTTCATCTCAATTCAATTAATTTCTGCTCTAATCTTTATGATTTCTTCCTGTCTTTGGGCTCTGGATTTGGTTTGCTCTTCCTTTTCTAGATGTTGGAGGTTCAACATTAGGGTGTTTATTTGTTCCCATTCTGTTTTCCTAATGTGTGAGTTCACAGCTATGAATTTCCCTCTGAGAACTGCTTTCATCGCATCCCATAAATTCCGATAAGTTGCGGATGAATTTTCATTGAATTGTAGATATTGTTGAATTTCTTGTTTAATTTCATCTGTGACCCATTGGTTACTGAGTAGGGAGTCATTTAATTTCCATGTATTTAAGGATTTTTCTGGTTTCTTTTGTCATTTATTTCATTTCATTGCATTGTGTTAAGATAATATGCATAGGATAATTTCTGTTTTCTTGCATATACTTAAGCATGACCTATCTACTAGTATGTGATCTACTTTAGAAAATCATTGTGTGCAGCTGAAAAAAATGTATATTCCACTGTGGTTGGGTGGAACACTCTGTGTATGTCTACCAAGTTCATTTTTTTCAAGCTCTGGTTCAGTTGTGCTACTTCTTTGCTAATTTTTTGTCTGGTTGGTCTATCTATTTGGGATAAGGAGGTGTTATGGTCTCCTGTTAAGATTGTTGTATGGGATATTAGATCTTTCATGTCTGTTAAAGTTTGATATATTTGGGTGCTCCCATGTTTGGTGCATACATATTTATGATTGTTATTTCTTCCTCTTGAAATTTCCTCTAACTAGTATATAGTGGCCTTCTGTATTTCGTTTGATCATTCTTGGTTTGAAGTTGAGACTGTCTGAGATCAAGATTGCTACTCCCCCTCCTTCCCTCCCCAGCCTTCCTGCGGGGGCCGTGTCTTATTTTTCCCCTTTCCCCGCGCCCCTCCTTTTCTTTTCTTTTCCCCTCCCCCCCTTTCACCATTTCTCCTCAGAGGCTCTTCCCCTGGGCTGGGCTGAGCCAGTCTCAACCCCCGCCTCTCCCCTGTCCCCGCCACCCTATGGCGAGAGGGAGCCCCCTCTCCAAGGCTCCGGCGGCAGCGGCAGCAGCGGGACGGCAGGCTCAGGCCTGGTGTCTTCAGGGAACTGATTCGTTGACGACCCGGGCAGGAGCCTTGTGTCCCGCTGTGCACCGCGACCCCGGCTTGTCTCCCCTTCTCCCTCTTTGGCTGGTCTGGTCCTCTGCGCGCCCCAATGCCCGGTGGAAGGAAGGAGGAGGTAACACCCCAGATGCCCCTGCATCACCCCTGGGAGGCCTACAGCTCCACCAGGGAGGAAGAGGAGGAGGACACCAAAGAGGAGGTAGAGGTAGTTGCATCAAATTGGGTGACAGGCAGATCCAAAGGTTATCATGAAGTTTCCAGTCCCTTTGGAAAACCACAGATTGTCTTTTTTATTGGAAAAGTCAATCTCTAGGGAAGCCCAGATCTGGAAGGTGAATGTGCCGAAAATGCCTACAAATCAGAGTGTTTCTCCATCCCAGATAGATGAAGTAATTCATTGTCTAGCCAAACTCAAGTACCAATTCAACCTATACCCAGAAACATTTGCTTTGGCTAGCAGTCTTTTGGACAGGTTTTTAGCTACTGTAAAGGCCCACCCAAAATACTTGAGTTGTATTGCAATTAGTTGCTTTTTCCTGGCTGCCAGGACTGTTGAAGAGGATGAGAAAATTCCGGTACTAAAGGTATCGGCAAGAGGAAGTTTCTGTGGGTGTTCCTCTTCTGAGATTTTGAGAATGGAGAGAATTATTCCAGATAAATTGAATTGGAATCTTCACACAGCCACACCAATGGATTTTCTTCACATTTTCCATGCCATTGCAGTGTCAACTAGACCTCAGTTACTTTTCAGTTTGCCCACGTTGAGCCCATCTCAGCATTTGGCCAGCCTCATCAAACAGCTGCTTCACTGTATGGCCTGCAGCCAACTTCTGCAGTTTAAAGGATCCATGCTTGCCCTGGCCATGGTTAGCTTGGAAATGGAGAAGCTCATTCCTGATTGGCTTCCTCTTACAATTGAACTCCTTCAGAAAGCACAGATGGAGAGCTCCCAGTTGATCCACTGTTGAGAGCAGGTGGCACATCACCTTTCTACTCCACAGTCTTCCCTGCCTCTAAATTCCGTGTATGCCTACCATTCCCTCAAGCACACCCTGGTAACCTGTGACAAAGAAGTGTTCAGATTACATCCCTCCTCTGTCTCAGGCCCAGATATCTCCAAGGACAACAGCAAGCCAGAAGTGCCAGTCAGAGGTACAGCAGCCTTCTACCATTCTCTCCCAACTGCTGGTGGGTGCAAGCACGCCTCTGCTGAACGCAAAGTGGAGGAAATGGAAGCAGATGACTTCTATGATGGGATTAAACGACTCTATAATGAAGACAGTGCTGCAGAAAGTGTAGGTTCTGTGTTTGGCACTGATTTATCAAGGCAAGAGGGATATGCTTCCCCTTGTCACCTTTGCAGCCTGTTATTGTTATGTAGTTTCAACATGTGTTACCTTCCAGTGCAAACAAAGATTGCCTACTTTGGGAACAACCTGTAAAACTAGGAGAGGCTATGGAGGAATGTGTACTTTATCAGGCTGATTTGAAGTGAGCCAGAAAAAAACACACCCTCATTTACTTACACAATTAATTATAATTTAGCATTGTTTGAAAGCAAAAAATATTTACCAAAATATTTTTTGAAAGTAAATTTTTTGTAGTATGTCAATTTATGCTCTTTTGTGCTAAAATGTAGTTTGTTCCATTTCAAAAATTGTTTGAAAAATTCCAAAATTAACAGCTGTAAGCCCTTTCCCCCAGCCTTGTGATTTTTCTTTTTCTTTTGGTTTTTTATGGAATGCTTAATGAATTTTATGCTCATTGACCTATGTTTTCTACCTTCCACTGGATAGGTACTTCCCTCATCCCCCCCATAGCAAAATTAGTGTGACAGCCATGTTTATTCCATGATTTAGATTCCATTTAGTCTGGAAAATATACTTTGGAATTGTCCAGATGAATCAGAAGTGGTAAGAGAAAAAGTTCTCACATTATCACTTGATTTTGTGTTTGTCTCATTTTAGGTTTTAGAGTTTAAAAACAAAACAACCATATTTTATCTTAAACTTTAAAATAGCATATAACTAGAACACTTATGATTTCTTAAAAGCATTTTTGACATTTGTATAAAGGGATTTGTGACAAAATTAATATATCCAAGTGCTCACCAAAGAAATGTAACAGAATTAGATTTTTGTAACTGATCTGTTTCCACTCATTTATAATCAGTAGGAGACTGTCTAGATGTTGGGGCAGCTCTGTGATTTGCATAACATGTAATTCAGTACCCTCCTTTCTGTTAGGATGTTAAGATTTTTCTGATAAAGATTATGCCCCATCTCCCAACCTACCCATGCTTCTCGTAATGACTATTGGATCTTGGGCTCCCTTTGTAGTCTGAGGAAGGTATTGTAGTCAGAGCCATGCACTGATGATAAAAGCCTCTGGTAGCAATAAAAAGTTGTCCTAAAAAAAAAAAGATTTCTATCCCTGCTTTTTTCTAAGTTCTGGGGCATGTAGTATTGTTTTCCATCCTTTGATTTTCAGCTTGTGAGTTTCTTTATGCGTTAAATGTGTTTCTTGTATACAACATATTGTTGGGTTTTGTTTCCTAATCCACTGTGCCAATCTATTTCTCTTAATTGGTGAATTGAGTCGATTTACATTGATGGTTATTATTGAGATGCGTTGACTTATGATTGACATGTTATTTGAATGCTGTTTTGTAACCGTATTTTCTCCTGTGTTTAATTATTTGTCCTGTTTAGTGGGTTTCTTCTGTTCTCATTGGTGGAGTTCTGATCATTTTGGTCCCTCTCTAGAACATCTTTCAGTAGCCTGTGTAGGATTGCTTTTGCCATCATGAAATTCTTTAGTTGTTCTTTGTCATGAAAGTATTTCACTTCTCCATCAAACTTGAAAGAGAGTTTTGCAGGTTATAGTAGTCTGGGTTAGAATTTGTTTTTGTAGAGGATTTGAAGTACTCTGCTCCATGCTCTTCTTGGCTTCATGGTTTGTGGAGAGAAGTTAGCCATAATTCTGGTGAGTTTTCCTTTGAATGTGATCTGCTTCTTTTCTCTAGTGGCTTCCAGTATGATATTCTTGTGTTGGATTTCTGGGATCTTGACTATTATATGTCTTGGTGGGTTTTTAATTGAGTTGAAGTCATTTGGAGTTCTGTATGCTTCAGTTACATGAGTATCAGATTGTTGCCTCATATTTGGGAAGTTTTCTGCTATTACTTCTGCCTGTATTCTTTTTATATCTTTTGTATTGACTCCTTCATTCTCATTGATGCCTATTAGTCTCACATTGTTCATCTTTGCATCGTCTTGCAGGTGATGAATTATTTTTTCCTGCATCCTAGTTGTTTTTAAGAGATCCTTTCTTACATTTTCACTAGCTTTACCAGAATCTTCAAGATCTGAAACTCTATCTTCACTTTCGCTCAAATGGTTTTCAGGCTTTTAATTGAGATTTTAAGGTCCTTTACATCTCTTTGACTCTGCTTCGTGCAATCTATTTCTTTCCTGTATTCCTCATTCAAGGAGTCCATCTTTTTTTAATCTCCTTTATGTTTTTTATCATTGTCTTCTTTAGAAGTAGTTATTAATTCTTTTTTTAAAAGAATTACATTTTTATTTTATTTTGTTGAAAAACAAATATCAATGAGACAGCTTCCAAGCTGATTATGGCGCCAACATTTTCAATAATTAATGCATTGCACATTGTTATCTTCTCAGTGGTCATCCACAGCACAAGAAGCAGCCAGGACATCCCATCCAAACACTCTTACTAAAAATCCATCCTCTCACTGAACCAAGTGAAAGCAACCATACATTTATCCTAACTATTCTGCATATACAAATACAAAATGGTCCTTCCTCTGTATCCCCCATCTCCCATTCAGTACTGTCAGAGATAGGTATTCTATTGGCATTTAAATATTATAGGTTCTTGAATTCAGCAAAACAATCCAACACAGTCCAGCAGTCCACAATTGTAGTGGGTTATCCGCAGTTGTTGACGAGAGCCTTTAACAGCTTAGCATATTAATATGGCTTTACTTTACTTTATTTTAAGTTTTTCTTAACTATATTTGATGTTTTTATTTTTTTATTT